GCTTTTTTCTTTTTGCTTATGTGGTGCTGAGGAATGGAACCCAGGGCCTCATGCATGCAAGGCAAGTGCTCTACCACTGAGCCACCTTCCTAGCTCCGAGAGCATCTTTTTAAGGGCTTGGGAGGCAAGAAGATTTGTCTGTGTGACATGAAGAGTGAGTTTGTTATAGTACCAATGTTTACCCCTTTACAGTGCAGTTCCAGGGACCAATCTATACCCATGGTGACAGCCCTGCCCCACTGCCTCCACAGGGCATGATTGTGCAGCCAGAAATGCACCTTCCCCACCCAGGTAAGCTTTCTTTTTCTTCTGAATACTTCCAGTGTGTGAAGATGTGTTTTGGGGGCTTCATAAACTTCTACCCTTTCGGCTCTATGCAACTAAGCCAGGCTGGCCAGACTGGCTGGTTAGGCAGCAAATTCCTCTTGGGTCCCTCCTAAGGACTTCCAGCCTGAGCCTGTTTGTGTTTAGTAATCCATCCAGACCATCGTATGAAAATGGTAGTATGTTTTTCAGTTTTTGTTTTTCTTTCCTTGTCCTTCTAGGTTTACATCCTCACCAGACACCGGCACCACTGCCCAATCCGGGCCTCTATCCCCCACCAGTGTCCATGTCTCCAGGACAGCCACCACCCCAGCAGTTGCTTGCTCCTACTTACTTTTCTGCTCCAGGGGTCATGAACTTCAGTAATCCCAGCTACCCTTATGCTCCTGGAGCACTGCCTCCCCCACCACCTCCTCATCTATACCCTAATACACAGGTGAGATGGCTGATAAGCAGATTTTTCTAGGTACACATCTTTAAATTAGACAGGACTATGGTATGGGGAGACTTCCTAAAGGAATTTTTTAAGAAGAGAACAAGAGTATTTCAATACCATCAATTTGTATGTAGTATTAGGATGCCTCTTGGTGGTCATAAGCTGGAAGTGCAGCTTACATAATTACCCATCATCTGTATTTTCAGGTGTTTTTTTGTTTTGTTCTTTTTTGGGGGTGAGGAGATTGGTGTTTTGTTTTTTCCAGATCAAATTCAGGATCTTGCACTTATATACCCAACCCTTGGGTTTTTTGAGATAGATTTTTGCTATGTAGCCTAGGCTTCAAAATACTGCTTCAGCCTCTTAAATGTTGGGATTATAGGTGTATACCATCTGTTTCTTTGTTTTGTCAGTCCTGGACTTGAACTCTGGGCCAGGGAGCTGTTACTGAGTTCCTTTTGCTCAAGGCTAGCCCTCTACCACTTGAGCCACATCTCCACTTCTTGCTTTTCTTGGTGTTTAATTGGAGATAAGAATTTCACAAATACTTTCCTGCTGAGGCTGACTTTGAATTATGATCCTCAGATCTCAAACTCCTGAATAGCTAGGATGTAGGTGTGAGCCACCAGTGCCTGTTAAGCTCAGCCTTTTCTTTCTTTTCATT